CTACAGAATTGGTAACAAACTTCAATTATATGGAATCGATGGTATCATTGTGGTTGTTTGAAAGAGCAGAGAGTACCTTTTGGTAAGCGGGGATATGCTCTGCAAATATGAAGGTGATAGTAGTGATAAGCTGACAATATTTGTATGGATCATTAGAGCAGGAATTTGAAAAAAAAGAGGAGTACGAAAGAAGATCGGAAATTCGATGTTGGTAGAAAGTGAAAGAATAAGATAAAAATGCATGATAGCAAATGATAAGTAGTGATAGGATGAGTGAAATGACGTGTTACGTCAGATATGACCCATAAGTGAAAACGTTGTGATAACGTTTCAGGGAGGACTCCTGATTTCAAGAGATAATTTTTAGGTCAACGAAAAAATGTAAAAACGAAAATGAATAAGTAAATAAATAAACAAACAAATAAATAAGTAGGCCACGATAACATTTTGCCTGGGTTCATAGTGCATCACGTTGATGACTCTTGTTTTTCACAATTTTTCCCAAAAAAACTGTAGTGTACTACTTAGGCTGAGAAGAGGTTTGGAAAAACATAAGAGAAAAATAAAAAAAGGTAAAATATGCTTAAAAATTAAAATTTAATTAATTGCCCGAAAAACATCTTACAGTAATGTGAAAATGCTCAGGCGCGTACTATCTGAAACGAAGCTAAGCCACTCCTCCAGACAACTTTTTAGGGTTTTCCATGGCTTTTACCCATGGGAGTTGAATATTGACACAACGTTTTCCTGAGTTATTATTGTGTTTACAAGTAAACATGTGTTAAGAGGAACATAAGATTTCAGCCAAGAACACTTTGATCTTAGGACATTTACTCTTTCGTCGTCGGCCACATCCCACCATTGATGGAATTCAGAAAGAACTACCCAAAGGTCGATTGGGCACTCTGCCTACACTGGAGCCGGCCTTCACGCATCACTACTCATACTCATAACTAGTAAATTCCTAAGGTCCTCAGTGTCCTATTATTTCTCCGAGCTTTTTCTGGCTAGGTTTATATAGGCCACACAATTCCTGCGTAATAAGGGCAACTTCGAGCAAATGCTTTTTAGGGAATCAATCGCTAAAATGTATTTTGAAAATGAAGGAACGGACAATCAGCACTAACTGATCTACCCGGGGTTTCAGCCGAATACTGCATGCGTGGTAGCAGCATTATTTGTCATAAAACCAGTTATTGACCAACAATAAGTAAATAATTCAACAAAAGAGTGTAATATTAGTTGTACCAGATGGATAGAAGAGCCACCGTAAACCTTGAAGAAATTGAGGTAAAAAGAGAAGGAAGAGCATAGGACAGGAAAAGATGCCGTACTTCTTATACTAACCGGAAGGAGACACCTGCGTAGAGCGGCGACTGGGAGGTTGGGGCCTGTTGACATAGAGGGATAGCTGACTTTATGCCTCACCTCATCTTGGTAAACACTACCAACGCTCATCAGTTCTTTATATAGGAATCGGGTACCGACTGACAGAATTAATGGTGACCGGGACTACCGGCTACCCACACAGGTCAGAAAATCATTTCTAGAGGACTCAGATTAGCTTGGGCTACCTGAGAGGTACTTTTAGGCGTAAGGAAGTCGAAAAGGAAGAAGTAGTAGAAAATAGATTGAAAATATGAAGCCATAGGTATAAGAAGTATGGGTAGTAAGTAAGGAGAAGGAAAAACGTAATGGAAAGGCGGGAGAGGAGAGACTGGGGGAACATCTAGGTGTCAAGTAGGGTTCAATGAAGCCTTCTGGTCAAAACATTCCCAGACACAAAATCATCAGGTCGTGAATGCGGGTGGATGTCTACCCACTTAACATCTTCACTAAGAGGTAAGGAGAATGTAGTAAGAAACATCTGGGTTATGGGTGCGACGAAAATCACCTCGCGTTGACCTCATTGAGGTCTTCAGGTGGGAGCAAGTGTGGGGACGTGTAGGAGGAAGAGGAAACTGGAACTGTCAAACACAAGAAACACTCCTGTTTGAACGATTTACGTAATCCAGTCCGGAATGAAGTCATTGCTTTACAGAACTTGTTTTTCTGGAAACGGTAATCGAAGAGGCAATGAGACCAGTAGGTAATATCCTATGATATCCTATGGAAGACATAGGGCGTTTTGCAGAAAAGACAAAGGTGAGCAGTCAGTCACTGCTGACCCAATGGGGACCAGGTTACTGGGGCTACAAATTTTTCTGAGCGTGTTTGAACTTGAGAAGTTATTCTTGAGAACAAAGGAGGATTTATCCGATAATTATTATGAAAATACCTCAAATGAACCCAAAAATCCCCAAACGATTCCAACCCCATCGAATTGCTTCAAATTGTTTTTAGAAGATATTGAGAAAAGGACAAAATACCCGAGCGGAAAACGCTTTTTGGAAGCGCCCATGAGGCTAAGAATGTAAGGCTCAAAGTGCTTCTGATAAATCGAAAGCCCCGCCCACACTCGGATGATTTGTTAAGTCCGAAGATCAGTGCGAACACTCACAACTGTTACCCATCGTTAGACGCAGAGTTGAAGCGATAGAGAAGAACCTCTCGGAAGGGATGGAAAAGCGTGATTTATCAGCAATATAGTAATAGTAATAACTTGTATCCAGAGACCATATGGGCGAGATAGTACTAGAGACACCACGGGATCAGGCGGCAAGGATGACCCAAATTGATGATCACCTTTGATTCGACTGAAATCAAACGGGGAACACCGGATCAGATCGTGTCCCCGATGGTGTTGGGGAACTGCCAGTAGTATCCACCCATAAGTTCTGCACAGTGCTGGTAGCAGAGCTAGGTAGGTGTGAGGCTCCCACAAAGAAACACCAAACATAGGTAATTCTACTTGATAGCATCAAAATGGTAAGTCAAAGAAAACGGCCTATGTGAGGGTAGGGAATCTCTCAGAATCTATGGGAGCTGAGAAATGTGGTGGGGAAGATGGGAAGTAGACTGACACGAACTCATTCGGGGATTGAAGGACGCTGGTTTTTTGGCAGAGTTATTGCTTTGACGATTTCTGCGTAAACTGGCTACCCAGACTAACTCCCTCCCTATTCCCAGTCCTCTTTTTAATGTTCCTAGACCATCGGTATGGTCAATTTAATAGCAATGA